TCCTAAGGTCCGGACCTGTCGTTTCGGCACTTTTGTCGAAACGAATATTTCATTTGCCGGTTCAAAATGACAAAATTCATGTCCGACCTACGAAAACGGCCGGTTCGCCAAAAGTGCCGGAACGACAGGTCCGGACCTTACGAAAATTTCATTTTTTGCGGGGTCGCCAAAAATGACAAAAATTCATGTCCGGACCTTACGAAAAATGCTTTTTTGGCCGGTTCGCCAAAAGTGCCGGAACGACAGGTCCGGACCTTACGAAAATTTCATTTTTTGCGGGGTCGACAAAAATGACAAAAATTCATGTCCGGACCTTACGAAAAATGCTTTTTTGGCCGGTTCGCCAAAAGTGCCGGAACGACAGGTCCGGACCTTACGAAAATTTCATTTTTTGCGGGGTCGACAAAAATGACAAAAATTCATGTCCGGACCTTACGAAAAATGCTTTTTTGGCAGGTTCGCCAAAAGTGCCAGAACGACAGGTCCGGACCTTACGAAAATTTCATGTTTTGCGGGGTCGCCAATAATGACAAAAATTCTTGTCCGGACCTTACGAAAAATGCTTTTTGGCCGGTTTCGCCAAAAGTGCCGAAACGACATGTCCGGACCTTATGAAAATTTCATTTTTTGCGGGTTCGCCAAAAATGACAAAAATTCATGTCCGGACCTTACGAAAAATGCTTTTTTGGCCGGTTCGCCAAAAGTGCCGGAACGACAGGTCCGGACCTTACGAAAATTTCATTTTTTGCGGTAGAACGGAGGGTACTGAGAAATAATGCCTGACGGGCGGTTATCACACACCCTAACACATTACTATTACACTTATACATCAGGCAAAGCTTTAAACTGTAATAACTTCTATACAAGCCTTAATGATAGGGCGGGATATAGCTCGATAGGACACTGACCTGAGGTGACGGTAGAACGGAGGGTACTGAGTGCAGTGCCCTGCCGCTCGTCACCGCGTAGGCCTACAGTTTCCAATCTTTAATTTTTACTTTTATTTCTTACGGCTGTCACCTGAACACTTTCTGGTATATTGTCACTCATGCCTTATAAACACATATTTTGATCCTAAATTACACACTAAGGTAAGGTCTTGGTTTGCTAGTTCGTGGGCAAATTCATTGGACTATAATATCAACGCGGCACTCTCGAGGCGGGTACAGGACGCTCCCCAAACAAAGGCCGAATGTTCATGGCGTGGGTATATCCACTTCACTTAAAACTGTAATTAGGGATCCTCCTCTCACCCATTGCACTATTTGAATACAGACATAAGATTCTCTGATCACTGTACATGTCGTGGGTATATGTCACGTGAGGATACGAGGTGTATTAAGTTCACACCAACGCATACAAGATATTTCCTCTCAGTATAGTTTCTGGGTCACTTCCAACACCTCACATAGTACTGATGCATTTATCCTTTTTCCAGATCGTTGTTCTCATGTATTTTCATATGATATCTGTGGAAGTTATGTTCGCTACACGTTCACAGACGTAAATAGTATGACCCTCAAACCATGATCCACACTTAGTCCACTCCATTTTGGATTTCCTCTATGCTATGTCTCTCGTGATGGGAGGCAACTACAGGGACGGGAGAGGCGTAATCTATGACAGCTCTGACGATGGTGATGTACAGTCGGGGTCAGGAATTCGTGATGCAGTCGGACCAGAGGGTGAGCAGGCCGTTCCACCCTTATTTGACGAAGAGTTGCTGTGCCGAAACTCCCCACCAACACAGTGTGAAACTGGTAACGAAGCAGAGTGATTCGTAAGACCAACCGCCCAAGTGGCTAACGAGCCGATCGGTGGCGATGAGAATAAAAGTAAAGGTAAAAACTCGACACATGAGATAGGAATGGAGATATTTATTAATATGAGTAGACAACGGTAGTGATGAATGATGAGGAGTAATGTTAATATCATGTTTCCTAAATGAAGCAAACTATATAAATTACATAATTTAGGCGGTGGATATTTTAGCGTAACCGGTTAAGTTCCTAGAACGCTATTTTTCCGTGAATGCGCTCTGATTGGCTAATCGTCCATTACCGGCGAACAACGGGAGAACAATATTTGACGGTGACTGGCGGCATTCGGCATTTATTTCGCCGTGAGTCGATCGTTGTGTAGCTCTAAACATACCTAACCAGAAGTTGTTCGATTTTGATCGTTTCCACAGATGTTCATTATAAAAGAGGCGACATTTACAAGAACCTAATAGAACCTAACCTAACCAAACAAAGAAACCTAACCAACCTTACCTAACTTCCTAGCCGGGAGGCGGACCCCGTCATATTATACAGAAAGTACTTTTTTTATGCAATCAGAGCGCACTCATGGTAAAATAGCGTTAGTAGGAACTTAGCCGGTCACGGCAAAATATCCACTACGTATAAATATATGAATGTGGGGATGTGTAGCAACATAAGCCAGTGGCCACATAACATCAAGCTACGTAAGTGAAGCGTCACGTAGACATGATAAACACAACATGGCTTTAAACAGTATTTATGCTTAATACACTTCCAAAAACCGACCCATCATTGATATGAGTATACGAAATGCTCCTTATAATAAAATTCATACTAACAATTTATCGTAAATATTGCGACAGTATACTATTTACTTATCAGAATACTGGCAGCTGATATCCCTTTAAAATAGTTCTTCATCGAAGATATACAGTAATATATAACATCGGCAGTGATTTCCAAAATTATGGAGACTATTGCGCCAAGCTTTACAAGTGAATGGTGTATGACCATGTTTAATTTGAGATGAGTATTAGAAATATGGACACCATCATTCTAGTCGGCCCTTTCCCTGTGTTATTTTAAGACAGCTATTTTTTTTTTTACTGGGAATAACCCACCTGGGCACAGGTCATCGACCCACAACGGGGCTTAAGGGCCAAAAAATAAAGAGTAACAATAAATTAAATATAGAAGAGAAAATTACCAAATTAATCTACACCATGAAGATGCCGGAAAACCAGCTTTTTAAAGTGAGACATTGTATGAGTATGGAAACATAGAAGAAGGCATTTCTTGAGTTAAGGGCTTGGTAGTGAATTTTAGACTTGACTGTACAAATATAATTAATAACTGAGTTCCCCTTATCAAACGTAAACATATGACTCGTGAGTTGTGAGCATTCCATCACAGTCCAGCCTACATCTTCGCTACTGCCAGAAGCTGAATTGATTAAACAGTTCAGGTATTATTCAGCCCGGCTCTTATTCCTACCATTTTCATCGCCCAGTAAAATAATAAGGGACTAGCAGTACGGAGCCAAGTGCTGTATTTAGAAAAAATAATAATTTGGAATAGTTGGAAATTAAAATCAACAAGTTGGGAAATGTTTGGCCATAAACTGGAAAATTCAATATGTTCTAACAGGAACGTAAAATAAGGCTTTTCAGGTCCAATTAGGAAAACAAGTTGACAATATTAATAATAGATTTCACGTATTATAACTTTTGTATCTACTGTATATGCATGATGAAATCATCATTGTAAGTACAGTACAGCATAGCCGGCAACCATAGGATGCGTAGATTCCAAACGCTGCCACCAGGTGGTTGCAAGACGGTCGAGTGAGTCTGAGTGACTAAGCAGGTATTAACCAGTTCACTTGTGGCCCGAGTGTTGATGGTAATGCACTATCATTGTCCTGCAGCGAGAGAAACCTTTACTTATAAAACGAAAATATCAAGTGTGTTACAGTGAGTAGTTGTACACGATTTGTTATGATTCCACATGTTAATTATATTTTAGACTAGATGCCCTTTTTAATGTCTTAACGCGGTAGTAATAATTCTCAGTTTATTCCCGAGAATTTAGTACAGTAAACCATTTTCACTGGATCCTCAAGTACACTGTGGAGTGATGTGTAACACTGGATAATAAGTCATAATGACCACCCGACCGGCTTTTAATAAGATACAGCAAGTGGTGAATGAGGAGATTCGGAGTTTGGTGTGTAGCCTCCCTGGGTGTGGTGAGGTAGCCTCCCTGGGTGTGGTGATGTAGCCTCCCTGGGTATATGGTGTAGCCTTCCTGGATGTGGTGTACATTGGACTAGTTGGTTTATGACGGAATGTCACAAAAAACCAACTCACCGGCATTTTACGTCACTTGTCCACACGCTGAAAACTGAAAGGACGTTCTACGAGGTTGAATTCCGTCACATATTTAAGACATTGCAATTCAGTATGTATTGTTAAATCGTTCTAGAAACATCATACAAATCTTTTTTTTTTTTTTTGCCACGGTGGCTAATGTCTTAAGGGAGAGGTTTCTTGGATGAGGTGAAAGAAAGGGTAGAGTGCACACTTGTGTACCCCCCCTCTCATCCTAGCCCTTACCTGATGTTATAAGTTACTTGGTGCGTTCTACTGTCTGTTAGTTTGACCCACGCCATTCACATTAGCTCCGCCCATAAGTGAGTGGGCAAGTTTTTCCTAGTTCCGTGTTTATCTCCCCTTAGAAGAGAAAGAAATATTACGAGGGAACGAATCCTAAGTGACCATGAGAAGTTACGCACAGCTGGTGGTGGGTGGCACATCAGTTGCACTGTATTCTCATTTTGTTGGTCTGTTTATGTTCGTCTTTTTGTGTTTCTATATTGATGTTGTGTCTGTGTTTCTGTGAGTGTTTATGTTAATATGAATGTTTGTGACATTGTTTTGATAGGTATGTCTGTCCCTGTTAATGTATTAGTAAGATGTTTTATGCTGGTCGCCGTCACGAGGTAGAATTTTGTGGGGTGGACTGCGGCGTAATGGGTGACGGTGGAGGCCATGGGCTGCGGCGTGGTGGGTAACGGTGGAGGCCATGGGCTGCGGCGTGTTGGGTGACGGTGGGTGGAGGAATCTGCACCGAGCGACACGGAATAAGTCTCTCCACCACAACACCACTGCACGTATATCATTATAGGATGGCTGATAAATGAGGGAAGGTTGTAACTCGCTGGTCACTAGACGCCGCTCTCCTCCACCACCACCAGGTACTAGTAGTGAATGTCTTCACTCTTAGTAGTAACCTTTTTTTCTATTCTACTGAAATTGTGGTACATGCATCTGGTCACCTTACTTTATCCTTTTCGCTTGGGCGGTCGGTCACGTCTCTGTTACGTACTGTTTACGACTGTAATACTGTAGACTGTAGTAACTAATGTCGATAGATAGATAGATAGATTGATAGAGATGTGTGTGTGTGTGTGTGTATTTTCGTGTGAACCCAACTGCAAACCGAGGCAAACAAACTCCAACGTCGGAAAAGCGCTACCGCCGCCCCTCCCGCACTAGATGTAGCCCCCGACATGTGCAACATCTGTGATCGACCCTGCTGGTCCCGTATCGGCCTTTTAGTCACCTCAGAATTCACCAACATAGGTGACATCCCTAATACCTCACATCATTGTATCATAGCTGAATGATCGTCATACTCGATTTCGAGTGACAGCAAAGTAGAAAGTAGTAGTAGTAGTGTGTGTATGTGATTTAAGAAACTACGTCCTCTATTTGCATTTCCTATTTCTGGTTTCCGGATTAAAGGACTTGCTTATTAGCCCTCTCCTCCATATTTCACTTGGGTACTTAAGTTCAACGAGACAACTACCCTAACCTAACTTAACTTAATCTTCAGATCATCGTTTCCAGTTGCCTCATTAGGTTGATGTTACTGGAAATACCTTATATGATGCTTAAATTTCCTATGATGCACAGTTAGGTCGCCGTTACGTGGGCATCAGTGAGCGCCTGTTTACCTGGATGCTTGTGAGCGCCTGTTACGTGGATGTTTGTGAGCGCCTGTTGTTACTATTACGTTGGTGTTAATGAGCACCTGTTGTTACTGTTACGTGGATGTTAGTAAATAAGTAAATACAAACATGTAAAAAATAAATCAAGAGTGAGAAACGACAATATGTGTGTTGTGTTGTCAATAGTAAGAGAAAATTGAGACCCTGCGATTGTATGTAAATGAGGTAGAAAGTCAGATCAGCAACCTGGGACTTGGTCAAAATTTTGTGATGCCATATGGCAACATGGTCTACCTTGCAACAAACAATAAGAAAAACCAACCGAACCGAATTTTTTTTTTTTTTTACGGGGATTAGCCCACCCGGGCACAGGTCACTGACCCACATCAGGGCCCGGGGGGCGAAAACTTAATAATAATAATTCATAGTAAATAAAATTTATAATAAAAAGTAAAACAAAATATTAATGGTAATAATAATAATAACAACACTGTGATAATAATACATACAAAGAAATGCAAGAGTGAAAAAAAATAAACAGTGAGAAACGCTATATATGTATGTTGTTTTGTCATGTAATAGAAACAATTGAGACCCTACAATTGTGTGTAAATGAGGCAGAAGTCAGATCAGCAACCTGGGACTTGGTCACAATTTTCGTGATGTCATATGGCAGCAGGGTCTACCATTAGGCAACACATTATGCTTCCAATATCTTCCCAGGCGGTAGTACCTCCCTGTTCGGTAGCTGCCTACTACCTACTACCACATTGTGTTTATTTCTAAACACCGGACTCAGTTGGGCAGGTAGATGTGTGTGTGAGAAGACCGCTGGGGCCTTTATGGCCATTAAATCTTTTTCTGCGTCAGTCTTTTCTGAATCACTCCCCACCTTGTTGACTTTATCATTTGTTATAATCTTTAAAAACGTCACTTTACTATGAACAACTACAACCTAGATCCTCGTTCATCTCTTTTCTTTTATTAGCTCAGTTTCTTTCATTTCATCCTTCATCTGATACGGTCTGTGGACTCTTCCTCAAGTTCTGCCAATATAACTCCTCTTACATTTGTCTGGGTGAAAACCTTGTCGATTGTTTTAATGAAATCCATATTACTTTTAATGGATCACCTGAAGATTAGCTCCTCCAGCTTATTTCACCTGATGATTAAACACACTAACACTACCTGAGGGGGGGGGGTGTTAGTTTAGATTGGATTATGTTATGTTGGGTAAGCGTTAGGGTGGTTAATCTTGAGATGAAATGAACTGTGGGACTAATCTTCATGTGATCCCTTGTAACTATTGCTTCTCGTGACGTCAGATATTATTCAACACAGAGGCGACACCATAGACGCTAAGAAGAATATAAATAAGTCGTTCTTGATGTGTTAATTCTATACTTAATAAATCTAGAAGTAGTTTAGGAGGAAGTAATCAAGATATTTAACGTGAAATTTGAAATCCCCAGACCACGGACCAGAGCACGGGGAGGAAGACCTTGAGAGGCGACTGACTGTGCTGGAGGGTGGTAGGAATAATGATGGTGGTAGTGATGGTGATAATGATGGTGGTGACGGTGATGGTGATAATGATGATGATGATGGTGGTAGTATTGGTTGTGGTGATAGTGGATGTAGTCTGTGTGTGTTCGTACACAGGGTGGAAAAATGCGTCTAGTGCGGCAGAATTATGTTAATGCTAAGGTGCAAGCACTGCTTGCTCGCTTTCAGCTACCGCCACTGGTTAGCCCTCGTGGGGAACAGGGAAGCAACTTGCATAAGTCTTCCCCTGCCAATACACAGCCTTTTCACCGTCAAGACTCCTGCTGTGCGTCTTCGTGGCAACACACGGTAACTGGATGCCTCAGGGGCCTTGGCTAGACCAGCAAGGGATCTCGGAGTAGCAGTGGGCCCCAGAGGGACGGCGCATAGGCCCACTGGCATGCAAACACGTCCTGGCGCCTACCAACCATTGCTGAGTAATCTTGGTAAAGTTACGGGATTAACCCCAAACGAAAAATCTGTGGTGGAGTCCCTCATCAGGCAGACATGCTTACAGGGCTCCAACAAGACCCCAACAGCGGTGTAGGAGGAAGAGGTGACCACCATGGGAACGCAACGACTACACTGGTGGACGAAGGCAATGCCTGATGGACAAGCTACTAAGGCGAAACCCTACAAACTGGGCTATCGGCAGTCCATTGCGACTCTCCCTCTCCTCAGTCGCTGCAACACTTGCACCACGGGATCAGGAAAAGGGAGAGCCAAGATGTGTGGTTGCAGCTTACGCTCCCGCGTCACCACATAAATCAACTCGCGTGCAGCCTTCAACCAACTTATCATACCTCTCATTATCATCATCAAAACCCCTATACCCCCAAAAATCCTATGGCGACGGGGACAGGCAGAGATTACTGCCGGGAGTCTCTAGTCACAACTCTGCACATGGGCGGCACAGATAAGATGGTCGTTTATGCATTGGGATCTAGGCAGCAGTGCAATCCGGTCCTGTGTGCGACTTAGCAGCCCTTTCAAGGAGCCACTCCGCTCACCCCGTATGGGGAGGGGGCTAGAAAAGGCGCCCTAAACATAGTGTAACCGCCATCCGGGCGGTTAAAGGATTTAATGAAACTTGTGACGTCAAACTCGAACATTATAATTTGGTCAAACCTGTTGAATACAATTCATTTTAGTATTTCAAATAAATCATACATAGGCAATCACATAAATGTCTAATCCCATATATATTTACATAACAATCATAGCTATGTAATCAGTCTAATCTTAACACTTACAATGAGTACTTAATTTTCCATATTTTTATGTCGTCACAATGATAAACGATGCAATGGACACAGTCTACCTGTGTACACAATACAGTAAGTACCAGTTAAACTTACGTGTTAAAAGTCTCAAGAGAAACCAGGTTAGGTGTTGCCTCTGTGATCTGAATAACTACAGAGGAACCAGGTTAGGTGTTGCCTCTGGTCTGAATAGCTACAGTGCCGATACCCTGCTGTCGCCTCCCCAACCCTCTCTCAATGGGCGGCTGAGTTAGGTGATTATAATTATACATAAACAAAACTCCCCTTACACACTCCAACTTTCTCTGGGCCTCTCATCCTCACCATGTCAATACTCTACACACTGTATACGGGCAGGCACACTCAATAAACATGACATGACTTACAGCCTAACAATGTTTATTTATGTGTCATCCTACTCATTACTGCTTGCGGTAACACATAGTCTGCCTAAAAAACAACCTGACTGGGCAACCGCACCCTGTAAGGTCATCCTTATGCGGTCGAAAACACAATCAAAATCACAGATCCAAACAAAAACAAACTATACAACCTCTTGTGGTTGCTGCATGAAATGTCAGGACCCTTCTGGATACTGGCACAAATGAGTGCCTGAAAGAAGAACCGCCTTTGTGGCAAAAGAACTGGTTAGGTATAACATCGACATAGCAGCCATTAGTGAGTCTCGGGTCCCAGATGAGGGTTAACTCACAGAACGAGATTCTGGCTATACCTTCTTCTGGAAGGGTAAGCCTGCTGTGGAGAGAAACGGCATTTATGGAGTTGGCTTTGCCATCCACCAACGCATTCTACACAGGCTAACTGAAATGCCTATTGGGATCAACGAGCGCCTCATGACTCTCCGAGTCCCACTGAACACTCACGTCATGCCTTTTTCATCACTACTTACACCCTAACACTGCATGCAGAGGATGACATCAAGAAGGCGTTTTACGCCGACTTCGACAGAGTGCTAACCTCTATCCCCAGAGAAGATAAGTTTGTGCTCCTTGGTGACTTCAATGCCAGACTTGGAAAAGATGCTGACATTTGGCAGGGAAGCATAGGGAGAAATGGACTAGGCAAGTGTAATCCCAACGGCCTACTCCTCCTCAGCAAGTGTGCTGCACATAACTTCACTATCATTAATACCTTGTTTAGGCAGGCCGACAAGTTCAAGGGTTCGTGGCAACACCCACGATCCAAACTCTGGCATCTCATTGATTACATCATTGTTAGAGAAATAGATCGCCGAGATGTCCTCATCACCCGTGCCATGCTTGGCTCAGACCACTGCAACACTGATCATCGGCTCGTCAGAGCCAAGCTCTCACTTCACGTCGCCCCAAAATGGCGAAGGCAGCAAGCCTCCAGAAGAGGTTTTAACACTAAGTGTCTGGAGGATCCAGCGGTAGTACATGCTTTCAGAAAGCAGCTCGAACATGGGCTGATAAATAACCTAAATCCCAGTGCCGAATGGGATATTCTCGACACCATCATGACAAAAACCTGCAGAGCCCCTCGGCCAGATCGAAAGAATACACCAGGATTGGTTTGATGAATATGACCTGGCAATCAATGTACTCATCAATGATAAACGTGCTGCTTTAACTGACTGGCAGAACAACCCTCAGTCTTGGACCAAAGCTGATGTCTTCCACAAAAAGAAAACGGTGGCCCAGCGGGAACTTTGCAAACTTAAGAACGTGTGAAACACAAAAATTTGCAGACCAGCACAAGGTGAGCGAATTTTTCAACTGCACGAAAAAATTTTATGGGCCAATCACTCACGGTGCCCCTCTGCTCATCCGACGATAACTCCACAATTAAAGATGATGAAGACCTCCTTCAGCGCTATAAAGAGCACTAGCATTTACTGCTCAACCGAAACACCGATGTGGATGTCCTGACTACCCAGTAGGTCCTTCAGCATCCAGAGCTGACCCACCTCAGCTATCCTCCATCCTTGGATGAGGTAGCTACTGCCATCAAACAGATGAAAAATAACAATGCCTCAGGGCCTGACGGAATCCCAGTCGAGGCGTGTAAAGCGGGAGGACCTCTGCTTACCAGCCGTCTCCACTCTCTCCTGGACAATATATGGGAAAAGGAGGAATTCCCCCAAGCTCTTAAAGACGCCTCCATCGTTAATATTTATAAGAACAAGGGAGACTGGTTAGACTGTGGCAACTACCGCGGGTTGTCGCTGCTGCCCGTAGCTGGCAAGATTATCGCCCGAGTCTTCCTAAACTGACTTCTTCCTGAAGCGGAAAACTTCCACCCCGAATCTCGGTGTGGCCTTAGACCATCACGTGGCACCACTGACATGATCTTTGCTGCCCGTCAGTTACAGGAAAAGTGCAGAGAACAACGTTGTAACCTGTATATGGCTTTCATCGACCTAACCAAGGCCTTCAACTCGATCAACAGGGAATCCATCTGGTGGACCCTCAGCCGTTTTGGCTGCCCACCAAAATTCATCGCCTCTGTGAGGCAACTACGCGATGGCATGAGGGTTAAACAAGGTGTGTGTACTGGCACCAACTCTCTTTTCCATTTTCTTGGCTGCCTTCCTTACTCGTGCCAGCGCCAATTTAGCCGACGGGGTGAACATCGAGTACCGGTTGAAGGGTCTTTTCAACATAAGACGACTCCAGGCAGGAGCAAAGATGTCGGCAGCTTCCATTACTGAGCTTCAATATGCAGACGACCTCACCCTTGTCGCTCAAACTGAACGCGACCTACAGGAGCTCCTGAACACCTACGCAGATGCGTATGCACACTTCGGCCTTGAGGTGAATGTACAGTCAGCAATTTTACCTGGCAATACTTGGCAAAGGGACGTTGTATGTAAAGGTGATTGTGATTGGTGGATCTGTTTTCGACTGGATCACTGTTAAGATAAATATTAAACAAACCAAAGGTAAAATTTTTATAATAATAAATTATTCACTATTATTTTAGATCCTGAGAAGTTTCTAAATGTTCGTATATTTGTTCAAATAATATAGAAAATTTTATGTGAGAATCTTGTGGCAGCTGTGGTTGTAGTTAAGTTGCCAAGTTATTAATATAATTTTCTTCATTATTAAGCAAATTTACGAACATTTGGAAACTTCTCATGACTTTAAATAGCAATGAAGTTTTTATTATAAAAATTCTTCCTTTGGTTTGTTTAATAATTATCCTGACAGTGATACAGCCGAAAACAGATCCACCAATTGCAATCACCTTTTCATACAGCCTTCCTTTACCAAGTATTGCCAGGTAAAATTACGAGCACGAGACTCAGAGTGGGGTTGATGCATCTTTGGCTGACTGTACATAATGCTCAGATTCTCTTTCAGCCTGCCCCTGGTTCAGCTACACCTCCACCATCCATCCAGCTTAACGGTACTACCCTCCCTCTAATGTTACCCACTTTCGGTATCTCGGCTCTCACCTGTTCACCACCGCGGACATCGATGAAAAGATTCGGCATCGGATCAGATGTGCAACTCAAGCCTTTGGCAGACTCCGAAATGTGTCTTCAGCTGTAGGGAGCTGAAATTATTTACAAAGTTACACGTATATCGAGCAGTAGTCCTCCCCACCCTGCTATATGGCAGGGTAGAAGCATCGAGGCTACCATTAGCCATGAACAACTACGATGGACTGGCCATGTTACCCGCATGGACGACAGTAGACTGCCGAAGCAGCTACTTTACATTCACCGAACGAATAGTAAACGTAACGCTGGCGGGCAACTGAAAAGATATAAGGATAGTCTTATGATAAACCTGAAAAAGTGCCAAATCGACCCCCCCACCGGGGAGACGATTACTCCACACCGTAACGCTTGGAGGATCACCACACAAGAAAGTGTCAATACTTTCGAATTAGCCCGACTGCATAACGAGGCAGACACGCTTCGACGCCGGAAAGACGCTGCCGCTCCCGCACAAAATGTAGCCTTCCACATATGCAACATCTGTGATCGGCCTGCCGGTCCCGTATCGGCCTCTTTAGTCACCTCAGAACTCCCCAACCCAGGTGAATCTTTAATAACTTATGTCATTGTATCATAGCTGGATGATCGTCATATTCGATTGCGAATGACAGCAAATTAGTAGTAATAGTGTTGGTGATAATGATGACGATGTTAATGGTTGTGTGGAGATGGTGATGTTGACACTGGGAGTAACAACGTTTGAAGCTATATGTGTGTGTGTGTGTGCAGGATACGTTAACAGTGTATCTAAAGGACCAAAAATCACAGGTGCCATAATCAACTGTACATATTATTTAGGGGTTACCTTAATGGTTCACAGTTAACATTACACTTGTGAATTTTGGTTCTGTAGGCTTGCCATTGACGTCTGTGCACATAAAGCCCCTGAATTTAATAGTTTTGGTCCACCTTTGAATACTAGACGTGATACCATAATAGTGATGTTTATTGTCTACATGAGAGTTGTTACAGAGATTCAGATCATTGTTTTTCATCCACCAAGAGACTTCAACTTGTTTTTGTGATGATAATTTTTGTCCACAGATGTCGGGATGGTGCGAGCGTGTGTTGCTGGTGTTACTGATAGGTAAGTTACCTTCTTCAGTGTATTGTTGTATTAATTAACTACCATGGCTCAGAGTTCTCAGATTCTCATTAGATGAATATTCCTCATATTTAAATATATAGAATACACCTTACTGACTTTTCTGAAACGACGACGTGACTGGTGTTGCTGAGCTATTGATCATCAAGCAGCCACACTGGTTAACACACTATATAGAGCAGTGGTTCTCAACCTTGTTTGCCCCATGCACCCCTTTCACCATATGTCAGAATGTCATTCCCCCCTCCTTTCCAAGATTGTCTGCCTCAAAAAGTGCATTCCAAATAATATGAATATAATACTGAAAAACCTTTATTTTTTCCATATTAGTACATATACATTTACAATTTTACATGGATTATTTTTATAGTGGAGTTTTACAAATTAAATGTCAATTGAAAATGTTGATGGATTTATAAAACTTGAATAGAAGTAAATTAGTTTTTTTTTTTTTATAGTAAATTACTTAACAGACCACACTGAAGCATAATGCAATATACAAAAAGTTCAATAGAATACCAGGATATTGTAAATTTGTAATTAATTTTATTCAGATGAAGATTACAGTCAATGAGAAACCTGTGATTGTTTTTCTTCGCCAATTCTGGGATACGCGGAGGAGTGCTTGAAAGGGCACAACGCAGGTCATTTTCTACCTCTAATCTACTACGTTGCTTCGTTTTAATTTGCAACAGAGTTGAAAAGCCTGACTCACAAAGATATGTCGACACAAACGGAAGCAATGCACGGATAGCTCTTTCTGCCACTTTTGGGTAGGAATCGCACATCAAGGGCCAAAATTCTGTGATTGATTTCTCATCGAACATATCTCTTGCTCCCGAATCAGTTTTCCCCCCCCTGAAAACCTGAATTCCCCCCTGGTTGAGAACCACTGATATAGAGAATTGTGACTCACAATGACGATTACTAATACGTTCAGGACTAAATGGTGTGTGGTTTGTTTACAGGTGTGTGGTCAGCTGTGGGTCAGCAGGTGGGGCACGTGTGTACCCGGGTGGACGGGACGCAGGGGGTGATGAGGGACCTCCGGGAATGCCTACAGCAGGGTGGGTCCACCGAGAGCGGCAGCCAGCTGAGGCTACCTGGCGCCACAGATTTTGACCGAGTCATCGTGTGTTGTAGGACCAGCTCTGCCGCCATTGCACGTAACAGTAAGTTCTCCAGAATGGAATGAGCAAATAATATATTTCTTGTAACAGAACAAAATGAGCGGAACATAATATGTTAACTGTATCTTAAAAAAATGTGAAATACAGTACAGTAATGATATATTGTTTGCAACTTGGCCAAAGTGAGTAAATATACATACCGGTAATTTTAAGGTGTCAGAGAAGTCCTGGTGACCCATGGCTTCTAGTGGTCGTTCTATCAATCAATGTTTTCACAAATATAATATCTCCAGAGTGCTTTGAGTGGCAGCAACAGAGGAGACGAAGTGGAAGCAGATGTACCATCACTGTGCCGCTGGTCCATGGTGGTGAAAGTGCCCTCGTCAGAGAGTTTCCTCACATAGTTAGTATCGCCTTCTGTTTAATCAGCAATCTTCTCGTAAACCACTTCTAATCATCAGTATTTTAATATGAAAACTTTAAAGCAATTGTCCACCTGGTTTTGTAATACATTGGTACAGTTATCCTTTAAAGTTTTATACTATAAACTGTTCTTCTCCACCAATACCCTCCACGAGTCTTTGTGACTGTCGTGGTGCTCGAAGTCTTCCATATCTCTTAACTGCCGTAAGCCCAAATCTTGCCTTTCCCATTGTATAAGAATATTTCTTGTGTTCGCCATAGAGGGTAAGCTTTTGTCGTTTTATTGAGGGAAGTAAGTTGTTCTCCCTGGTTAAGAAATGCCTCTCACTCCCCCTAATGAAGGGACGTTTACACTGTGTGCCTGCTTCTTACACTCTCCTCTACCTGCAGGTGTCGCTTCTTGAAGATACTAGCCGTGGTCTACGGCATGTGTGTGGAGGCTCACTTATTGCCCGGGACTGGGTGCTCACTGCAGCCCATTGTGTTCAGTAAGTGTGTAACAATTTCCTTTAAAATCGAATATCCTTGACCCACCATCACAGCATGTGTAGTTTTTATTGTGTTTTGTAATTTACAGGCATTATCTACTGCATTTGTGATAGTTAAATATGATCCTCAAGGTTCATAACGCCAGGGGTGTCCAGGGGTTTTCACCTTCTGAAATGGTGTTAAGGCTTTACGCACCCACTAAACTAGTCAAACACTTAGCAACTTAATTAATTATGAAAGTATAACTGTATAACCCTGAAAATTGTATTTATATTGGAATGTGTACAAAAACTAAATCCGTTTCCCAAAGAAAACCAAATTACAATTAATACTGTGTTACCAAAAATGCCTTTGTTAAATGAGCATAAAAGATTCGATTTCAAGTGGCTTATACTTAAGCCAATTGCCGATTCCTAATTGCCAGAGCTCTTTTGAGTTTTCATTAACTCTGTCCACCCAGTAACTCTCTTTATCACCAGAACTACACGTGCATATTAATCTATACTCATTAGTTTCTATATTCCTTCAGGTTTCCTACACCAAGGCTTGTGGCACGTCTTGGAGCCCACGATTTTCGCGAGAGAGAACCAGGGATAAGTTACGATGTCATTGTGGCTTCCTACTTCATTCACCCAGAGTACGAGGAACCCAGACGCTATAATGACATTGCTCTTTTGCAGCTGAAGTTTGAGGTAAGTTAGATAGGCCAAGGCTACTATAAACTGTTATTCTCAATCATATGGGTGATGAAATACTAACCTAACCTAGCCTACTGATGAAATAAACTATGGTGTCTAATCTTGAAATGATCCTGCATTCCATTTATTTTTTTCATTAATTACCTAAATATATCATCCTATTAGGCTCCAGTGACTGATAGGATCCAGCCAGCATGTTTGCCCTACGAGAACAAAAGGGTGAGAGGTGGAGAGGAACTGCTAGTGGCTGGCTGGGGTCTAACTGGTCCAGGAAGTGCGTATTTTAACTAACGTTTTGGTGTACTTGGGTGTGTTATTATTTGGGTGATTCTCTTTCTTCCTTCCCTGCCTCCTTCCTACCCTCCCTGCCTCCTTCCTACCCTCCCTGCCTTCTTCATTTTTGCCCCTTTTCCCTCCTTCTCTTCCCCTACCTCCTCTTGCCTTCTCCTTACTCTCCCTGCCTAGATAGATCGATAATTTGTTCAGTAAAATCGTCATAAAAGTAGAATATATTCTTTTTGTGAATAATCTTGTAATTCTGATTTTGACCGAATACTAAAAATTTATTATCAGCCCTTACTATTATTTGTATTTCAGTGTGTGTGTGAGAACTTATCGATACCTTTTTTGTGTTAATAACTATGTTCAATTTGGTCTTGATTGTCAGCACGCACATCAGAAGTACTACATAAGGCGCAGGTACGGTCTATGTCAAGGTTCCAGTGTGACCAGCATGATATACTCAGACTGAATGCCGCTATTGATTACCCATCTGGAATCACCGACAGCATCATCTGTGTGGATGAATCTAATCAAGGCTCTTGTCAGGTAAAGCTTATTATAAACCTTCATTAACATGAATAGTTACACAGGGAATGACAATGTTTATACACACATACACACACACTGGTCACTGTTGAGTCCTTACTGTGCCAGTTGCAACACCTTCCAGTTGATTCTCAGTTCTTCATTTTACAGTAGCTCTCCTCTCTGGACATGAAATACGTTACATGAATACAGTTTCAAAATTACAACTGTTTTGTAAATGAGTACCTTTTGTTTTTATTATGTACTTTATTCTTGTGCTTGTGGTCTAAAGTATAGCCTGTCACAACATGTTGCAGATCGTGTAGTTATCCAAATAATAGAAGCCGTAATTAATGAGATTCAAATAATTAGTGTAGGATTATCATGACTGTGATATTCGGGCTATAGGGACACGTAGTGCATGTATATTGTATACTGTACAGTCTTGCACTACTGCCCACTGATATTAAAGAAATTAACGATTACATTTAGCATTATGGCTTACCGAGAAAACAAACAGGCTTGTAATTATTATCTAGGTAAATATTACTGTGCATCCCTCCCCCTGCTCTGCCACCATCATGTCTGCATCATAACACTTGTTAAAACTTTCTACAGTTCCTGAACGAACACTGGATGGAGCAGGTACATGATGTATTGTCTTCCTACAGGGTGACAGTGGAGGACCGCTGATGTTTGAGCGAGGTGGACAGTGTGTGCAGGAGGTGGTGGGTCTGGTGTCTCGTGGTGTGAGGGGGTGTACCAGCAGCAATGTACCAGGTATCTACACCCGGGTTGAGTACTACAGGGATTGGATTGTTGATAAAGTGTGGAAAGATGCCTTCTGAAGACCTGCGTGTGAATGTTTCCATGCATTAGACTGTAGGTGTCTTCTTGTCATATGTAACAGAACTCTGGACATAGTAACTCCAAGTCCTCTTCAATTTTAATGTCATGTGCACTTCATTACCTGTATACGATTACGTATTACAGTAATTCAAATTCTATAATAGTGTACAATATGGATAATGATACAGCTCTTCCTCAGTATTTTACACTTCATTGTTTAAGTATTTATGCTTGTTTATATTAATTTTAAATGTGGGAGTAAAGTACCAATGGATTGTACTGTTGTGAATTATTATGACTAAAGATTCTAAGTAATAGATAATGCTCGGTATGTGTGAGGTTGGTGAGAGTAGGTGTTGGAAAGTAATCTTGACGGGGTATACTGATGAACTTAAGAACAGCAGTTAAGTACAGTATATGTAATTTGCACTTCTGAGCAGTAGTTAAGTAAATGTAGTTTGAACTTAAGAACAGTTGTTCAGTAAATGTAGTTTGAACTCATGGACAGTAGTTAAGTAAATGTAGTTTGAACTCCTGAACAGTAGTAAGTTAAGTATAGTATATGTAGTGTGAACTGATGAACAACAGTTAAATAAATTTAGTTTGAATTTATGAACAACAGTTAAATAAATATAGCTTGAACTTATGAACGATAGTTAAATAAATGTAGTTTGAACTTATGAACAACATTTAAGTAAATGTAGTATAAGAATACCTGTAATTAGAATCGCTGTTAAAGAGTTTCATGCATGTTGATTCTAAATACTGTACAGTAAAATACAGTAAATACAAAATTCCTTCTACTGTATTTGTATGTAATATTTCACATATCAGTAACAATGTAAGTACTTTTAATATGTATTGTTTTTGGTTACAGTAGATTTTTTCTTGTAGACATATGTACTTTTCTATGTTGTAATATCTAATGGAAATACAGGCTTGTGTTTCGTTAACCATAATTCAAGTGAATAATTTTAGAATTTAGAGATTACCTGAAGATTAAATCCTCCCCAACTTATTTCGCCTGATTATATTGAACACCCAAACATTGCCTTGGGGGAGTTAGGTTAGTTTAGGTATTTCATTCGGGTGCTTAATAATCATTCGATATAAGCTGGGGTGCCTAATTTTCAAGACTGATCCCTTTAACTTTCTGTGCCGATAAATATACTACTATACAGCACACCTGCCCCAACCACAGTATAATGAACCATACAAATATACTTACTAAATATACTTACTGTATTTATAAAGCCGTAATTTTAGCAATGGATAAATACACGGAAGGTGAGCGTGAGTTTCAAATCCAAGGCATTTCGTCTTATTAATTCTCCTCCTTTAGTCGACAATCTCTCTCCCCTTTCTCTTCGCCGCAATGTTGCTTCACTCTCTCTCTCTTTTACAGGTACTTTAACGGGCAATGTTCAGGGGATTTGGCATCCTGTGTACCGCCGGTAAGGTCGTGGGTTCGTAACACACGTCTTGCCCGCGATGCCCACCATTTCTCTGTTGATATCGGTCACACGAGAATAGCCCGTTATAGTACCTCCTTCTTTCCTCACACAGCCAAACTGTGGAATGCTCTGCCTTCTTCTGTGTTTCCATGCTCTTACAATCTGTCTCACTTTAAAAAGCTGGTTTTCCGGCATCTTCGTGGTGTAGATTAATACAGTATAACCTTTTTTTCTATATTTTCAATTTCTTTCCGTTCTTTTTTTTTCGCCCCCCAGGCTCCGTTGTGGGTCGTTTGACCTGTGCCCGGGTTGGCTAATTCCCGTAAAAAAAATCAAATGTTGGAAAAAGTAGAAGGCTAATTTGGTCCACTAGCTGTCCCCGGTCACTGGTTTATACTATAAGTAAATTCTGATAACTGTGTGAGAGGGAGAGCACTGGAGCGTGAGGGAGGGAGGGAGGGGGGAGAGTCAGGTGATAGTCACGGGATACAGACCACGTGGGGGCAGGGGGGGGATGGAATATGGTCATCGAGGGCACTGGGGAATCCAAATGGAGTATCAGACCGTGTCCACCCCCTCCTCCCTCCCTCCACCACCCATTTTATTGCAAAAGTATTGATATTCACCATCATACGTATTCATACCATACAAACGAATAAAAATTACTCCGATTTTGTTACGAAAGTTTTATTTGTCTTACTGATTGATGGAGGTTATAGGTTTTGTTATTGTTTCAGAAGTCAGAGACCACAAGAGGTTTGTTAGCTTCTTCCTCCATCCCCTTACCACATACCTCTTCCCCTCCCCTGGAACTGACAGTGATCACGGAAGACTGGGATTGACACGGGGCGGGGGAGGGTGGAAAGGGATAGTGAGGTACTCACGAGGGCAGACGCGAGAGGTGGGGGAGGGGGAGACTCCCCTGGGGCGGTAGGGGAGTTAAAGAAAATGTACTTAAAATAACGGTGTTCTATCAGTTGCTTATTCGTTATTAAACCTCGAATGTTATCTGTGTGTAATGCCATAGTTGAGTCACTGGTCACAGGCGAACACCGAACCTGGTAGACTGGTGGTGTTGAGGAGGGAGTAACATCGATCTTCTACAAGCGTTACGTATCAATGGCCGAAAATGACGCATAAACATCCCCAGTAAGTCGATCAAAGTGTCGATTATGTATACCGTTCGACGCTTAAAACATCCAGAAATTACACCTTTTTTTTTCTTATACGATAATGTAAATGAATAAAAAAACAATCTGTGGCATGGAGCTAACTGAGACATTTTATGCGTTAAACTAACATGAAACATATCCTTGTGGTAGATGACGCAGTTACTGACACGCCAACAACACTTACTGTACATGACGGAGACGCAACACAATTTAGCCTATTTTATATCCTGTAGTCTATTATATGTTTGCTGATGGTTGACCCTTGACGACCCACTATTAATATTTTAACCCAGCGATTTTCATCACTGCCGCTGTAATCTGGGACGTTTCGCTCCGGACGTTGTCTGCCAGAGCCTAATGTAATCGAACTGAACCGTCTGCTCGCCAGTCTCGGCACCACCTTAAATTTAGACGCTCGTTAGGCTAAAGTAAGATAATCCAACTCTCCATTAGCTCCCGTATATACGAGGGTCAGTCATTAAATAAAGACACGAGCGATAGTTTCACACATACAGTATATTCCGATTCTTTGTGCACAAAACTCGAGGTTATTTATCTTCACAATGCCCCTCACACGCTGATGTACGAATACTTGTCCCAACTTATTACTGTACCAACTTTTTGTTTCCTTGGAGAAACGTTTAGGTGTTGTCTTAACCAGATCCTGACCACTTCCAAGGCAACATATCAAGTGTTCCACTGGTTACAACAACAACTCAAAGAAAAAAATCGTTACGAAACGAGACAAGTGTGTAGAGGACAAAGTTGAGAAATTACACACAAGTATTTACACAAACGATCACTAAACCTGTGAAACTATCGCTGTGCGTCAAGTTAACCCGGATGTTCAGCGGTACTGTACAGTAGGGAGTGACAGTTTGGCAAAAGTTTTCAAAATCTAATTGCTTGGGTTGGATTATTTGTCTATCGGCCACGCTAATTCCGAATATGTTTGAGTTTTTTACATCATTGCATTAGAAGGTTTGTGGATACTTTTGGGTTTGGCATGAAAAACGCGAAAAAACTGTAAATAATAAAGGGACTGGCAATGTGGCACAACCTGTTAAAATCAAGTTATTGAATTGGATTATTCGACTACTGTGTACACTGGTTCATAATATGCTATTGTTTTACAACTCAATGCGCTACAAATTATGCCGATATTTTTGCTGCAAGTCACCACATACGTATATTTCGAAAACCAGGGCCCAATATTACCAACGGCGTGGATAGATTCCGTGGAATGAATTCAGGACATTCCCGCTCATGGAACATTACCAAACTCCGTATATGTGCCAATGGCAGGCCAATGGCAATATTTACAGAGTTTGTTGAGGCTCCCTGGACGGGAATGCCCTGAATTTATTCCACGGAATCTATTCACGCCGTTGGTAATATTCGTCCCAGGACTGATCAACGAATTCAGCCCAAGTAGCTTGACTTGGACAGTTAAGGACAAAATCTCAGTCCGTACTTTTGAATAAAATATTGTTCAATAGGTGGTGATATTGAAGTGCTGAAAGTTGTTTTTTCTGTGTTGTTTTGCAGTTAGTTCAAAGGGCCGCCACCAAGATGGGTCGTCCTAAGATTAGCAACACTCAGCTGCGCCAGGGTAACGATAAGGTGTTCGGGGTTCGGATGCCTCTGCCATCTAACAAGTTGCCTCTGAACAAGGAAGTTGGAAGTGCCCTGGCTTATGAAGCAGAAAACGAGAGGTTAAGGAGAAGAACAAATGCTTTTGATTATATGGATGCCACCAACAAGGTGACTGAGAAGGTACTGGATGTGTATAGGAAGGCCACTGTCCCCACTATCTCTGAAATCAGGGTGAAAATGAGAGTCCACGACCTGTGGAGGATGCGGAGGGAGACGATGATGATGAAGGGAAATGGACAGAAACAGAAAAGGAAGAAAACGAAGAACGGGAAGCTGAAGATGAGGTTCGAGGATATAGCTGAGAAGTTGTTTGATGTGGCAGACGACAGCAAAGTGCACGAACGAGAGAAAAGCTTCCTGGCAGCCCAGAGGAAACCGGGAAGGGAGGGCTGCATTGATGGCGTTGACAAAATTGTGACTGCCAAGCTGAAAGAAGAGAGGGAGAAGGAAGCGAAGAGGGCAAAGAAAAGGGCTGAGGAAGAGAGGAAAACTGAGAAGATGAGGTCAAAGAGTAAGGAGGAGATGGAGAGGATGTCGTGTAAAGTGTCGGCAGTGGATGACAGTGCTCAGGAAGAAGATAGTGATTATAAGGATGTCAATGACAATGAGTTCAAGGCTATGGTCGACAGGAGAGCAAGATCAGAGAAAAGGAAAAGGGAGAAAGAAGCCGAGGACAGGATCGGAGAAACTGCTGACAGGTTCAAGGTATCCAATGATGCAGTGGCTCACATCGCAAACACCATCAGAGCTGCAGACAACATCATAACTGAAGGGGACAAGTCTAAAGTGACTAACTGGAAGAAAGTGGAGAGAGTCAGGAAGAGGTCACGAGAACAGAAAAAAGAAAAGTGAATTGGGCTGAATTCGTTGATCAGTCCTGGGACGAATATTACCAACGGCGTGAATAGATTCCGTGGAATAAATTCACGGCATTCCCGTCCAGGGAGCCTCAACAAACTCTGTAAATATTGCCATTGGCCTGCCATTGGCACATATACGGAGTTTGGTAATGTTCCATGAGCGGGAATGTCCTGAATTCATTCCACGGAATCTATCCACGCCGTTGGTAATATTGGGCCCTGGTTTTCGAAATATATGTATGTGGTGACTTGCAGCAAAAATATCGGCATAATTTGTAGCGCATTGAGTTGTAAAACAATAGCATATTATGAACCAGTGTACACAGTAGTCGAATAATCCAATTCAATAACTTGATTTTAACAGGTTGTGCCACATTGCCAGTCCCTTTATTATTTACAGTTTTTTCGCGTTTTTCATGCCAAACCGAAAAGTATCCACAAACCTTCTAATGCAATGATGTAAAAAACTCAAACATATTCGGAATTAGCGTGGCCGATAGACAAATAATCCAACCCAAGCAATTAGATTTTGAAAACTTTTGCCAAACTGTCACTCCCTACTGTACAGTATGTGTGTAGTAATTAAGCACAGCATCCTTTCCTACTGCTATGTATGTACTATCGTGCACCAAAGTACTACCCAACCACAGTGAGGATTCGAATAGCTTTGAGTCTGAAGTTTCGAAACAGCTGGGGGAAATGCTATGGTCGGCCAACAGATGTCCCCCACTGTAGTGTGGGGGATAGAGGAGGTGGGGATTACTCTAGTAACAGGCTGTGTGTAGGTGGAGCATAACATCTTGAATTCCGCAATCACTGATAACAATAAGAATGTTATGAAGATAGTTAATATTATTAAGCATGGTGAGAGATGTGTAACGGGTAAATAAAAGCACTACAACGACCATATCTCTGCCGTTCATGGCTACGACGGTGAGACTGATGGGCACACCAGTAATTAATTCTCCGTGACTACCAGTAATGGTAGTCACGGAGAATACTTAAGTTGTTACCAAGGTTGGCGCCACCCACACCAGGGGAAGAAGAAGATGTCGAACACTGAAATATGCCGAGGTCTCATTCCTACCATCGTC